TCAGCAAGCTGAGGCCAGGAGAGCGCACAGGGTCCGTGGCAAAGCCAGCCGGGGCTGAGAAGGGCTGGGAGAGTGGGTTCTGTCCTCTCCATCACCACTGGGTGCCCCTTGCATTCCGGGCCTGGCCTCTGCCTCTCCTCACAAGGCCTCCTGGGGCGGGAGCTCTGCGTACACTGGGCCCTTGGCCTTCAGGGGCAACTTGCCCGTTTCAGGATGCCGGGCGGGGAGGGGCGCCTCAACTCACCCATCCACACTTCACCAAACTGCCCAGACCCGAGTTTCCGGACCAGCTTGAGGGACTGCCGGGGGATTTCCCATTCGTCCTGGACCCAGGGGTTCTGCGATGCCGGGCTCACACAGGGCAGGGTCAGCCTCTGGCATAAGCCATCCCCTTTCTCTGCATCAGGGAAGAAAGAAAAGTGAGCTGGAGGCCAGACTCCACGGGGACGCCAATCATCCTCCGCTGTGTGCGCTAGGCACTGGCTTTGAATTACCCGTGGAGAGGGGCCAGCTCCTGAGGTCACCCTCCAACTCCCCAAGGCAAGTCACACAATTTGGGATCTGTAATAGCCGTCCCAGAGCTCCTCTGGCACAAGCCCCCATCCCTCCAAGACACCCCCTTACTAGAATAGTGCTGCACCAGGGCCTGGAGGGAGGGGAAGGTGATCCTGGGGGAGATGTAGTAGCCCCCTTCATCCAGAGAGCGGATCTTATAGTGCTTGACCATCTCCCCCTGGGAGGTGACATCCTTCACAGACAGGGAAAAGGCACCTGGAGGCCAACAGACACAAAGGAATAAGGCACAGAGCCAAAAGGTCGGGACCCAGATGGGGCTTGGCGTCCCTGTTCTGAAGGACAGGTCCCCAGATTCTGGGCTCCATTTCCACTGGTTTCCTTCATCCCAATTTGCCCCCCTGAGCCTCCCTGTTGGCTCCATCTGATCCCCTTGACCTTCCCCAAAGCCCGAAACTCAATCAGAGAATCACGAGCTTGGGCAGGTAGGACAGTCTCTCGGCAATCATTCAAGTCCCCACTTGAGCACCTGGTCCCCCAGCTACCCTTTGCCATGGCATGTTGAGACATGCTGGGTCCTTGGCTATAAAGGCTGACAACTCCCCCAGGAAGAGGTGCATCCACCTTAGGCACCATGCCCATGGGAGGAGCCCAGAGCTGTGCCCAGGGGCCTGCTCCTTCAGCTTGGCAGACCTGCTCCTGGGGATTTTGTACCTGTAGACGAGTAGTAGCACACGCCAAGGGCTAAGAACAATTGGGGAAGTAAGAACTTTCAGCTGAAAAACTTTTTTCCATGAACTTGGAGTTGCTATAAAATGCCTCTGTCCAGCTCTCTGGGTACCTTGGACACTCCCTCCCTCTCCAACTCTTATTTGAGCAAGAGGTCCCTCTCTGGGCAGGCTTCCCTGGCCCCACCTCCCAGGACTCGCCTCCCAGGAGCAGTACCACCCCTCTCCACCAGGGGTCAGAGGTGTTAAATAATAGTTCCATTGTCCCAGAGAAGAACTATCTTACACCTCTTTCTCCATGGCCCTGTGTCTTTGGGCCCCTTCTTCTCAGGTCAGAACCACCATCCCGTGCCCCTCCCATCTTCCTTGACGGATTCACCTCTCTCACCACCTACTTATGAAAGGACTGGAGAGGCTGTGCACAGACCGGTGCACCGGGAAGTTGCCACCGCCCCCACACCCACCGCAGCCGCAGGATGGAAGCTACAAGGTCCTTGCCCACCTGACCCCGGCTGGGCAGCCCTGTGTCCCAGTCTGTGAGGACCTTGGCTCCAGCACGTTCACAGATCCCTGGACCTCCCAGTGAGGACAAGAGCTTTCCTTCCCCTTTCTCCCACAGAGGCCTCTCAGTAAGCAGGGAGCCCTACTCTCCTGCACTGTGGGAGTCTTCTCCAAGTCCTCTCTGTGACGTCTCAGGACAAGTGGGTGCTCTTCTTAAAGAGGACTTCCGGCTCCGACCAGCGTCAGGCTTACAGAACTAGGACTCTTGCCTCTGGGGTGTTTGGGCTGCCCTGGGCACAGAGGGATGGCTCTCACAGATTCAGATTTCTTACCACAGAAGGTGCCCCTGCCTTTGGACTGGGAAACGAGGCTGTCATCACAAAGACACCAATAGCAGAGGCTTGAGAAGCTGAGGGACATCTAGAGGCCACCAGACCCCCCAAGGCTTCCTCTCTGCCGGCCTTGCATCCATGTGACCCTGTGATGCAGATTCAGGGCTTCCTCTGGAATGCTGAGGAGCCTGTGTGTGCACGTGTGTCGTTGTGTGTGTGCACACATGTATGTGTGGGGGTGGGGGAGGAGAAGACACAAGATCGGCTGAGTAGCTAATTGTGGAAGTGGCCCCATGGGCCCCATCACACCATTCTGCCTCTGCATTTGCTGGAAATGCTCTACCAGTAACAGCCCCAGGACACACATGCCATCTCCACTAGTTCCCTGCTGGTTCCTTGGACAGGGGTGCTTTGCCCTGAAGATGGGATGGTGGCAACATCCCAATGTCTCTATATAACACCCAGGTGAGTACATGCATGTACACATGCACTTAAGACCTGAGGCACCCCGAGTCCCGATGCCCCCTCTGCCCCCAGTGTGGCCCTGGCCCTGAGGCACAGAACGGCTCCAGGGTGTGTCAGGGTGCCTTGAGCTCTCTTCACCCAGCTTTTGCTGTCAGAAATGAAACTCCTGGCTGCTGTCCACTGGCCACTAACAGGAGCCAAATTCACATTGCAGTCACTCTCTGCCCCCATTCCTCCTCCGACTCACCATCCCCATCTCCTCCCCATAGCATGTCGCAGGTCCCTGTGGGCAGCCTCCTGATGAACAGGTTTTCTTCACACCACTGGGAGTGTCCTTGATCCCCCCAGCCTGACACCATCTGCAGCTTGCACAGATTCAGAGCCTCGTCCATGGTGTCCACTGTCAGCATCAGACAAGGCCTTCCTCTCCCAGGGCTTCAGCTCCCTCATCAGTCAAATGGGGGACTGGGCTAGAATCTCCGAGGTGGACCGTTGCAGCAAGTGCACCAAGGAGTCCACAGAGCATGACCAGAGTGGCACAAGCACCTCAGTTCCACTGGGAAACAGCCCAGTGCCACCAGAATTAGAACCGCTGAGCCAGTCGTGGGATACGCACGCAGGACGTTCTGCACCACACGGAACTGAACTACTGCCACTCTCAGTGCCTCTGTCCTTGGTTGAGTTGTGTCCCACCAGCCCCAAATTCGGATGCTGCAGTGCTAATCCCCACCTGCAGGACACAACTGTGTCTGGAGACAGGGTTCTTAAAGGGGGATTAAGGTAAATGAGGTGCTTCGGTTGGGTCCTCATGCAACAGACTGTGTATTTATAAGAAGAGCCTAGGACACAGACACACAGGGAGGCCTGGTCAGGATTAAGGACCTAGGCATTAGACCAGAGACCCAGCACCTACTAGAAGAAAACATAGGCCCCACTCTCCATCATGTCAGTGCAGGAACTGACTTCCTCAACAAGACTCCTGACGCCCAACTAGTAAAATCAATAAACGGATGATGTCAAACTAAACTCGGGGTGCCTCAGATCAAATACATGAAAAATACAAATACAAATACATGAAAAAATACATGAAAAAAATGTTCAACATCTCTAGCAACTAGAGAAGTGCAAATTAAAACTACTGTAGCATTTCATCTCACTCCAGTCAGAATAGCAATGATCAAGAATATAAGTGGTGATAAATGTTGATGAAGATGTGGGGGAAAAGGCACACTCCTGCATTGCTGGCGGGACTGCAAATTGGTGCGACAACTTTGGAAAGCAGTGTGGAGATTCCTCAGAAAACCTGGAATGGAAGCACCATTTGACCCAGTTATCCCACTCCTCAGTATGTACCCAAAGGACTTAATCAGCCTACTACAGAGACGCAGCCACATCAATGTTTATAGCAGCTCAATTCACAAAAGCTAAGTTATGGAACCATCCTAGGTGCCCTTCAACAGATGAATGGATAAAGAAAATGTGATACATACACACAATGAAATATTCTCAGCCAAAAAGAAGAATGAGATCGTGGCATTGGCTGGTAAATGGATGGAACTGGAGACTATCGTGCTAAGTGAAATAAGCCAATCCCCCCCAAAACAAAGGCCAAATGTTGTTTCTGATATGGGGAAGCTAAGACACAAACAGCAGGGGAGGGAAGAATAGAGGCTGACTGATTAGACAAAGAGGAATGCAGGGAAGGAAGGGGTGGGAATAGGAAAGACGGTAGAACGACTTGGCCATCACTTTGCTCTGTTCACGGCCAGGTGAACACACGACCAGGGAAGCTCCACATCATGTTCAACCATAACAATGGGACCCTCATTAGGATAAGTCACACTCCATGCATGTATAATATGTCAAAATGCATTCTACTGTCATGTATATCTAAAAAGAACAAATAAACAAAAAAGGAAGAAAAAAGGAGGAATGTCATTGAGCTAAATGACCAAGGAAGGGAGAGAAGCACGGTGGCTTGGTGGCAGCAGGAAAGCCTGCTCAGTCTCGGGTCTGAATCTGTGATCCTCTGGAGGGGGTCTGCCTCCCCAGCTAGCCACAATCGAGCATCACCCCAAACTCCTGTTACCTGCGCTCTTTGACTGAGATGCTCTCTAGGGATTCTCTGAACCCCCAAATCCTTTGATTCCCAAACGTGGCTGGACCCTGAGGCTGAAGGGGACACAGGCTCCTCAGCCCCCACCGTTCCCAGTGTAGCTGCCGACAGTGAGTGGCTGGGCTTGTGGCTCTCTGCCATCCAGCCTGGGGGACGGCACGTTGGCATGCAGCATCTTAAAGCCAGCTTCTGGGCAGAGTCCAAATCAGGAGGGAGACCAGGGCAGTGGCTGCTGAAGAGGAGCCTGGTGGGGGGTGGGTGCTTCTTGAGGAGCCCCAGGCAGGAGGTGGCAAGGCCACCACTCACCTCTATTGGTCTCGCTCTCTCTGATGAGGAAGGCACCCGCCTTGTTCATTGGAGCCAGCAGCTGCCTCTCCGCCTCCTTCCGGCTGATCGACCTAAAGAACCACCTAGAAAAGGGCAAAGGCAGCGAGCCTCAGAGAGCGGCCGCGCTGCCTGGAGCATTCTAGTCCATGCACCTTTTAGGCTCAGCCACTCCTGTTCCCTGTTAACCCTGCCCCTCCGTCCCTCTGACCCTATCCCACCCCATTTCCTATCGGCCGCTGGACTTGCTGTCTTCCTGAAATGAAAAGACAGCATAGTTTGTACGACCTCTGCAAAAATGCTCCAGATGGACGGCCCTTCCCCACAGTGCAGGTGGCACACAAGGGCAGGCGCCCGCTCTGTAGCTCTGTCTGAATGACTGAGATGCCAGACGCTGGCCTGGGCTCCCTCTGTGTTCAGCAGGGGCTTCTCGATGTGGAGGTGCCCTAGCTTCCCGCACATGGTTCTGGGACAGACATGAGACCAAATGTCAACCACTGTGACACCTTCTGCATCCTGGGAGAGCGAACTGCACACCTGCACCAAGTGAGAGACTGAGTGGGTGGGTGGGTGAGTGGGTGGGTGGGTGAGTGGGTGAATGGGTGAGTGGGTGTGTGTGTGTGTATGTGTGTGTGTGTGTGTATGCGCAAGCACGGGTGGGTGAGTGAGTGGGTGAGTGGGTGTGTAGGTAAGTGGGAGTGGATGAGTGTGTGGCAGGGGATGGGAGAGTGAGTGGGTGAGTGGGTGGGTGAGTGAGTGGGTGAGTGGGTGGGTAGGTAAGTGGGAGTGGATGAGTGTGTGGCAGGGGATGGGAGAGTGAGTGGGTGAGTAGGTGGGTGAGTGGGTGGGTAAATGTGTGGATGAGTGGGTGAGTGGGTGGGTGAGTGGGTGAGTGGGTGAGTGGGTGGGTGAGTGGGTGAGTGGGTGAGTCAGTGGGTGAGTGGGTGAGTTGGTGGGTGAGTGGGTGAGTTGGTGGGTGAGTGGGTGAGTCAATGAGTGAGTGAGTAGGTGAATGGGTGTGTGAATGGGTGAGTGGGTGGGTGGGTGAGTGGGTGAGTGGGTGTTTGAATGGGTGAGTGGGTGGGTGAGTGGGTGAGTGGGTGGATGAGTGTGTGAGTGGGTGGGTGGAGAATGAGCAGGCCCACTGCCCTGACCATTGTGGACCTTCCTGGTGTGTTCTAGAAGCTGGTGGTGGGGCTGCTGCAAACCCAGTTCTAAACAAGTCCCCTCTCCTGGGACGCCCCTGGGATCTGACCCTGAGTCCTGTCCCTGGAGGCAGTGGGAGTTGCTGGTCAGGTCCTTGCTGTGAGCTCTGAGGCCAGACACTAGGACGGTTCCACCCAGGGATGCCAGAGAAGGGGCGGCTCCTGGTCCTTGGAAGCGCCCAGTGGTCTAGATGTCACTCTCTGGTCCCCTACTGGAGTCCCGAGGCTCCCAGTGGGGCCCACTTTCTGGCCCTGCCCTGAGCCTATGGAACACAAGCAGCGACTGCCCCTTTGGCTCGAGGGGACTTGTTGGTCCACATACTTTTCCACTTCCAGGGTCTCCAGGGGGGCCACAAAGTTGCTGGGCACATAGCCTTCTCTCCCTGTGACGAGTGACTTGGCCAACCACCAGTCTCCAGTTCTAAGGGGAGAAGGGAAGACGAAGCAGGATGAACCCCCGTGGGCCTCCCTGAGCGGCTCCTGGTCCCCTCCCCACAGCGTGACCCGCCCTCAGGAGGGTGGGGACTGGTGGAGGTGGACAGTCTGGAGGAAGGAGGAGCTTGCATGTCACTCGGTGGCTTTCCACTGTGTGGAGCATCTGACAGGCAGGAGCTCCCTGTGCAGGGAGGCGGCCCTGGGGTGGGCTCTGGAGCATGGGTGGGATTTTGACCACAGAGCTAAAGGCCATGGGCAGAAACCATCTCACCAGAAAGACTTTGGAGAGGAAATGGGTCAAGTTTAAGAACATGCCCGGACAGGTGGGCTGTGCGGTGGAGAAGATGCTCTGGAGGCAGCCCTGAGGGCAAGGTGGAGGGCAGGGAGGCAGAGGGGCCGCAGGACTGACAGAGCGGGGACAGGGGAGCTTTCGGAAACTCACTCCTTCAAGACCTGCAGCTTCTCGCCCTTCAGCATCTGCAGGTCCCGGTCATTCACAGCGGCATAGTCATACAGGGCCACCACAAAATGCTCCTCTGGAAAGAACCAAGGAGAGATGGCCACCACGCAGGCCCTCAGGAGAGGGGAACTGGGAGAACGTGTGTCGTGAGCCATCTTCTGGCTACCAAGCAGGGCAGGGGCAGGGCCAGTGCCAAAGAGAAAAGTCTCATCAGGTGGCCTGTCTGTCCAGGGACGGGCTGCCGTCACAGCCCGCCTGTCTCCCGTCTGAGCTCTGCTGAGAAGCCCTGGGCTGGGATGAGGATTGGGGAGGGTGGGTGTGCAGCGGCCACCATTGCTGGCCATCAGCGGGCTGCAGGACCTAGTTTGGGAACCACGTTGGCTGGTCCCCTATCCAGCCGTATTCCCCCCTGCCCCCAGCCCCATAGTGTGAGAGCCTCCCCCATTGTCCCCTTCCTTCTCCCCCTCCCAGCCTTATCCCAAAGTACCACATCTTGGAAGGTGGCAGCTGAGGCCTTCACCTCTCTACCCCGTTGGTGCCCAAGCCCTAGTGGTGAGCCTGGCTGGCGGCGCCCAGCCTGCCTGGCCCCAGCCCTCTCTGGAGGGCTGCTGACTTGCTGGGGGTCCCTGGAACAGATGAACGGGAGGCTGGGCTTGTGCAGGCATCTTTCAATGATCACTGCTAGTGATGAAGGCTCCCTGCACACTTGGCCCAGGTCCCCCAGATGGCTCTCTGCCTCCCCAGGAGTAATGACTCAGCTCTGTCACTGATGAGTGGTGTGACCTTGGGCCCGTTGCCTCCCTCGGTGGGCAGAGGCATTGGAATGGATGACAGTCACCCCTGTGGTCAGGGCTCAAGTCCTGGTGCACCAGGGGTCAGCACATTCACCGCCCCTGAGCTTCCTTCCTGGGGGTGGGGAGCTCCTGTCAGGAGACGAAGGATCACCCATCAGACAGGGCAAGGGCCACCAGGTGAGGACGCTGACTGGTTTAGGGACTCTGCTTGTGAGGGTGACAGGCTGAGATCCTGGAGGGAGGGCCCGGGTTTACCCCTCGCTACCCCTCCCCTGGCTGTGTGCTGCAGGCCCCTGGCACTAGGTGAGCCAGGGAGAGAAGGTCCTGCTGGCCTGGCCGAGGCGGCCCTTCCTGGAGGCTGTTGGAAGCAGGTGGTGGGCCTGCTGGGAAAGCCGGTTCTGAACCGGGCGCTGTGCTGTGAGCCCGGGAGGTCTGGGCCTGGTCAGGGAAGGCTGTGCTCACTCCTTACGGCATGTGCTGCTCACCAGGGCGGAGTGGAATCTGGGAGAGGGACATGGTGTGGGCGATTAGAGGGTCTATGGGGGCGGCTTGAACATGGCTGAGAAGGTGCCCCCCACGTAGATAGAACCCAGGCTAGGGGTGGGGAAGAAATTGGCCTGGCTGTGGCCGGGTCTGAGGGTGCTCTCTGCACTCCTGTAACTCTTTCCTGTGCTCCTGTTTGTATTTGTGAAGTCTGCTGTTTTATCCCACAGGCCTGCACCCACTCAGGGTCTCTGCTTGGTTCCTGGGGAGACACTGGGCGCCTGACGTCATGGAGGGAGTCGCTGGTTCTCAGCTCCCGGGCATTCTGTTCTTCTCCACCCTGGAGGACCCATCCTACTGTCCAAGGCAGACGCCCCCTTCTTACCGCGGTCGGGGTGCTCCTCGGGTGGTGGAGGGGTGAGGTGATTGAAGACCACCTTGGGCAGAAACACACACACTCCAAGTTAGTGCAGCTCCTGCTGCTGAACCCGGATGTCTCGAGAGGAAACTCTAGAGCATGTCAGCCAGACCACCGTGGGGTCCGCTCTGAGGAAGAGGGTGGCCGCCTTTGGAATTTCCATACATGCTGCTCCCCAGGTGCCAGCGCCGCCCCTAGACAAGCCCCAGACCATCTGGCATCTGGCCCTGACCACAGTAGACATGCCCCATCTTTGAAGGGAGAAAAAAAAAAATCAGTCACCAGGATTAAAATCCTGGTTCTATCATTCAAAGTTGTGAAGTGGTATTTGGTGACATGGAAAGATACTTAGGGAATAGATTCCCTAAAACTCAACAAACATTCTCATACATATGTAGCCTGTGGGTCAGCTGTGGCACACGGATACCACAAAACACAACGAGAGTGCTCCGAGTAATGGCAAGAATGGTAATACCTAGCGCATTTTAAAATGTGGGGGTCACCCTGGTGACCCATGACGGAGGATTGGACAAGCTGAAGTAGAGCTGTGCAGTGGGATGAACGAGCTGCAGGGATACCTGTTTGTTGCACAGGTGAACCGCGACAACGTAATGCAGAGCCCAACCCGCGTCCCAGAAGAACACGGGGTGCTGGATTCAGTTGGTGTAAAGTTCATGATGTGAAAAATGAACCTGTGTATTGTTTAGGGGAAATGCATACGTGGTGACAAAAAAGGAAAGATAAACAGGTTTGGAATGCGGGGGTCTGGGGTGAAGAGGACAGGCTGGGTAGGTAGAGAGTCAGGGAATGAGTCACTTTTGATTTTTGAGGATGAGGATTTATTTCTTAGTATGCGAACACTTTTTTTTGTGGGATTGTATTCTCTCAACCTGACGTAGGTATTATAAATCTTACTTTTTTATTCCATACTTATTGGACACAGTTTTGAAGTGGTTTTGCAAAATGGTGGCACCATGTGGTTCCATTAAAAACTCGTTCATGTGATAGAATGAATGCATAGGAAAAGGGACTGGAGGCAGAACCTCTGAGGAGATGACTCCTGGTATTTCTAGGAAGTGAAATGATGAGAAGTTATCATCATCTTGTTTCCCATGATCCACCACGATTATGTGGCTTGCTTTTTTTTGTACCAGGGATTGCACCCAGGGGTCCTTAACCACTGAGCCACATCCGTGGCCTTATGTGTTTATTTTAATTTGATTTTTTAAGTTATACGTTACAGTAGAATGTACTTTGGTAAATTATACATACATAGAGTGTATTCTATTCAGGAACCAACTTCCTCAATAAGACTCCTAAAGTGTAAGAAGTAAAATTAGGAATCAATGAATGGGATGGTTATCAATCTGAAAAGCTTACAGCAGAGGAAACAATCAAGAATGTGAACAGAGATCCTATAGAATGGGAGAGAAATCTTCGCCACCTGTACCTCAGATATGGCATGAATTTCCAGGATATAAACACTCAAAAGACAGCACCTGTCATTCTCCAAAGTCCCTCGGCTGTGTGCTGAGCCCTGTGCTGCACAGGGACACAGAGAAGATGCCCAGGGTCACACGTGGAACCGGGTCGGCAGTTCCTACACCCTAATGGGTCCATATTAGATGAAATGATGACCACGTGAACATGCCCATGGTGGGCACCAAGCAGAACAGGGGTCCAGGTGCCACTCTCCCGTACCCTAAACCAAAAGGAGGCTCTGCGGTTGGGCAGCGGGGAGGTGTCAGTCATCCAAAATCACGCCCCGGAGGGGCAGGTTCAGGGAGCCCTGGGTGCACTGGGCTCTCTTTCCCACTCCCTCCCCCGCTCTGAGGGGCTGGGCACTCACCAGGGGTGGCAGTGGTGGGGGGTCTTTGCTCTGGGTGCCGATCTTCAAGGGGCTCCAGCCCTTGCCCTTCTCAGTGACCTGCCTCTTGCTGCTGAGCAGACCCATCCTGTAGGGAGCACAGCAGATGGATTGTGAGACCGTGGAGGAGCCACCGCAACCAGCTTCAACCAGAAAGCTTGGCGGGCGGAGGTGGGGCTGCAAGGCCTCAGAGTCAGAGAGTTAGGGGGGCCGGGTGAGCCAAGATCGCATCCATCTACCTTCCTTCCTTCCTTCCTTCCTTCCTTCCTTCCTTCCTTCCTTTCCTCTTCTTTTTTTTTTTTTGGTGGGGGTGCCCAGAGAAAAGAAATGACTGCATTGAGACAAAAAATGACCTGGCCTGGTGCCGTGGCCAGAAACTGCTGGGCTGGGTCCTAGGCCCTGGGACAGGAAGCTGGGCAGGGAGGCCACACTGGGTTCCAGAGGAGCCTGACCTACCTGTCCGGTGCCTGGGCTCTAGTCTTAGTTTTGCCAGTGGGCAGGCTGTGTCACTAGGAAAGTCACAGTTCCCGGGGCCCGTGGGCTCCTTTGTGGATGCCAAAGCTTTGTTAGGATGTTTCTACCCTCCTTTCCAGATCAGATTTCAGGTGGACACCCTGCGTTTAGGCATTGGGCCAACTGCAGCTTCTCAGAAATATCAAGAATCTTCTTTACCCGGGCATGGTGGCACACACCTGTAATCCCAGCAGCTCGGGAGGCTGAGGCAGGAGGATCAGGAGTTCAAAGCCAGCCTCAGCAACTCAGTGAGACCCTAAGCAACTCAATGAGGCCCTGTCTCTAAATAAAATACAAAAAAGGTCTGGGGATGTGGCTTAGTGGTTGAACGCCCCTGAATTCGATCCCCAATACACCCCTTCCCCCAAAATCTTCTTTAGAGGTGAGAAAAGCACAGTTAAGGCTATTCTTCAGAAAATAATCATAGTTTGGCAGTCAGGGGAAGACCAGAGACCATTCCCTCCACACCACCCACCGGTCACCACTGTGCGGCTGCCAGGGCGACTGCTCAGGGCCGGGGCTGTTCAGTGTTCATCGGTTGTCTATGGCCCGTGCAGAACTGGCCCTGGAGCCCCCGTCTAACCCGAGACCACCACAGCCCCACATGCACATCTGGCCATCCACAGGATGTCCACTGCCAAGGGGAAGCCCCAAGTCACTACTCTTGCTGAGGGGCATGTGAGCGAATTCCTTCAGGCGAGGATACGGTATTCCATCCATTCTAAGACGCACCTTCTCCCCATTTCAACATCTCTGAAACCAGGAGGAGTCTTACGATCCTCGGTGCATTGTAGTATGATCGCTAACAGCTTTTCCTGTTTTAGCAATACATGAAATAAATGCTAGCTCCCTAGAGTGGTGCCTTAGATTCAGTGAAATACACATCGCTCCTCAAACTCATCTTGAAAAAAGAAAAGACTATAATAATTTTGTATATAGAACAGAGCCACAGCAACTAACCACAGTCTGGTTTTTTTTGTTTGTTTTTTAGTATGTCTTGCCATAGAACACCTAAAGCTTTACATTTTTAAAGAAAACTACTTTTTATATTTAAAGGTTCTTTATGTTAATTCATATCAGCTTTACCACCAGATCACTCATGGTACAAAAATTACAAGCAACACTTCATCTTGCAGAGATTTTTTTCCCCCAGAAGTTTGAATATGGGATTACGGGTTTGTATTAGGAACACCTACTGAATTTGAACAGGTCTTTGATTAGTATCTATCATACTTTGTTCTTCTTTGTTGACACAATGAATTTTGTTGGTAAATTTTCTGATAACGAAATATCTTTGCATTCCTGAATAAAAGCTGTGTGGTTATACTATGTTGCCCTTTTTGACAGGCAAATGGACTATATTTGCTAGTATCTTCTTTAGAACCTACATTTCCAAGGGGGATTTGTATGTGGCATTAGCACTAAGGTGCTGCTGGCTTCATCATGTATTCTGGGGAGCTCTACACCTTTTCTGTGGTCCCGAGTAGCTTATTAGCATTGGGATTACCTGTTCTTTAAAGGCTGGGTAGGACATAGCCATTATATCACATGTTCCTGGGGCTTACTCAAATGGTGGATCTTCACATGCATCTCTCATTTCTCGTACAGGAATTGTCTCACTTTCCCTCCTCTTTGTGCCAGTTTGATGAGTTGTATGATTTATAGGAGACCTTTGATTTCTTCTACAGTTCTCAATTTGTTGCCATAAAGTTTTGTGTAGTGTTGTTTTTTATTTTAATTAATTTATTTTTTTGGCAGTGCTGGGATTGACCCCAGATTGCATGTGCTAGGCGAGCATGCTACGGCTGAGCCACATTCCCATTCTTGGTAGCATTGTCTTGTAACTCTTGATTACGGCTTCTTTCTTGATCCTAATATAAATTGAATGTACTTTCTACTCTAATTAAAATTCCAATTGAATAAAATCATCTGGACATTAATACAATCAAATAAAGTTTTAATCTAGCTTAAAAATTATGAAAAAGAAGACTTGCCTAGCACTACAAAAAGCTAAACAGAACACTGCAAAAAAATGGCATGAAATTGGAATGGAAATAGATATCTCATCAGTGGAATAGAATAAGAACCCTGCACACGAATTCTGAAAATAACACAGGAACTACATATATGAAGATAGTGCTATTTTAATTCAGTGAAGAATAGATGGTTTATTTTAGTTTATGGTACTGGGAAAATGACTATCTACCTAGAAGGAAACACAATCCTACCTCACACCATATTTAAAAATAGGTCTGGGAATGTAGCTCAGTGGTAGAGGCTTGCCTAGCATATGTAAGGCCCTGGGTTCCACCTTTAGCATCCAAAAACAAAAACAAAAAAACCTGAGTGCACTTTAAAAAAAATAATATGTTTTAAAAAAAGAAAAACAAAAAAATTGAAAAATTGATTGATTGGTAGAAAATCATACATACAACCCAGAGTTTGGGGACAACTATTAACAAAGATAGGATAGCCAGAAGCTGAGAACAAAAAAAATACATTTATAAACATTGAAAGTATTTCATGACAAATGAAACCCATAAAGTCAGCAAATAAACAATAGGTTGGGGAAAAATTTGTGAAGCACAAGTTAGGGAAAGCCTTTTTTAAAAATAATTTTTAGATATTAATGAACCTTTATTTTATTCATTTATTTGTATGCAGTGCTGAGAATCCTCACACATGCTAGGCAAATGCTCTACCACTGAGCCACAACCCCAAACAAAGGGAAGATTTTGTTTATAATGTATTCAGAGTTCATGAAAATTGACAGGAAGAATATGTTAACATCAATCCACTCAACAGAAAAACTCATGAAAATTGCAAATAGAAAGTTCATAAAGCTCACACCCAAATTGCTAAATGAACATAGGGAAATATCAAGGTTATTTACTAAATGGAAAATACAAATCAAGAGAACAATAAAATGTCACACTAGATGAATGAGACAGGTAAAGATAAACAAACAACCAAACAAACAAAATGATAATCCAATTGTTGATGGTAAAGTGAAGGAAAATTGTATTTGCACACATTTCAGGTAGAAAAGCATATATTCTAGGTATTATTATTTTGTTTGTTTTCCCCACTCATTTCCAGGGTGAAAGCTCTGTGAGTGCTGGGCTCATTCATTGTTGACTCCAAATTGCTAAAGCAGTGCCTGCCACAGGGTGTGCACCTGACAAAATATTTATCAGGCAAATAAAATGTGAAATACTACTGACTTTTCAGAAAGCATTGTTTGTTTTTCAGTGCTGCAGACCAAACCCAGGGCTTCTTGCCTGCTAGGTAAGCACTCTACTACTGAGCCATAGACTCCCAGCTGGAAAGAAATCTTTTAAATTCTGTTAAAATTAAAAAAAAAAAAAACACATACCTTTGGATTTTCAGTTCCACTCTGAAATCTATCAGATGAATGTAACATCATTATATAGAAATATATGAGATATAAAAATGTTTTTGCAGCAATAGTTACAGCAGCAAAACAAACAAAAAACTCCCCAAAATCAATAATGTAACTGTTCATCAGTTAGGGAATTGTTGAATAAATCTATGCTCTAAACTTCTCTAGAATGTTATGCCACTATTATAAAGATTGTGCTGGATCTTTACCAAGGCTAAGTGAAATGTCCACAGCCTGCTGAACACAAGAAAGAAAGATACCCCACATTTGGAAGTATCCGAGAATGTGAAAACAAACCCCTCCTTAGGCACGTGTGTGTGTGTGTGTGTGTATGTGTGTGTGTGTGTGTGTGGTGTGTGTGTGTGTGTGTCACATAGGGAGAGGTCTAGGAGGAGGAGTGCAGAATTGCTGTTTTAATAATTAATAAAGGTTCATTAATATCTAAAAATTATTTTTAAAAAAGGCTTTCCCTAACTTGTGCTTCACAAATTTTTCCCCAACCTGTCTGTCTCCTTATTATTGGCAGAGGCACTGGGAGCTGGGAAGATAGGCACAAAAGACAGAGATGAGAAGCCAATAATAAAAGCAAAATTTAAAAGTTGTTGGGGGTGGGGGGATGGGGTGGTGTGCTCATGCAAAGTAGGGCCCAACACAATAGTTCCTAAAATGTCAACATGGTTTATCTCAGGTTATAAGAGTTAGTGTGATAATTTAACATATTCCTTGAACACTCAAGTAGGAAGCATATTTCATTGTTACAAACAGAAAAATACAAAGAATGCGAATGATTTGCCCAGTAGCTGAGGGGCTTGTGGCCTGGAGTCAGGCCTCCCCCAGTCCTGGCAAGAGTGAGTGGCCCCGCTGTCTGGGCCTCAGGCCCTTCCTGACCTCTCAGCCTCCCTCAACACAGGGTCACGGGCAGCTGCTCCCAGAGCTTGCCCTGGGCTTGGACTCCTGCTTCTTCACCGAGTGACCAGCCCTGTTATCTTCCTCTCTCCAGTCAGCCCAATCTCCACCAAGTTTAAACTTGGTCAAACACTGTGTCTACTTAAACATCAAACGTGAACATTTAAAAACAAGGCAGAAAGAAAGATTCCTAAAATCAAACAACCTATTACTTACACTTCTGTCCTTCGACGGCTTAGCAGAGTACGCCCGGCTTTTCCATGGCCTCTAGGATGACTTGGGATCTCTCCGGAGTCTCTGCCCCAGTGGCTCTGAATGGAGACTAGAGTCACTCCGGAGCTGAGTGACAACCAGCACTGTGACTGGGGCTTGGGCTACCCACAGGCAGTTTCAGGTTGGGTGGGGCCAGGAAGTGCAGAAGTCCACCCCAAAGCAGAGGGAGCACCTGCAGGTCTGGGGGCTCGGGGGGCTCTGCTTCCTTGAGTGAACACTGCTTCCTTTGCAGCAGAAAAAGGATGAGAGGGGGTGTGAGTCTGTGTGCGTGTGCGTGTGTTTGTGCATGTACGAGAGAGACAGAGACAGAGAGAGCCAGCATGTGCATGAACCCAGGGTGTGTGCCTGTCCATGCGTGTATGTGTATGTGTGTGTGAGAGCATGCGTGGGCACGTGTGTGCACCGTGGGCAGTTAGTAAAGGAGGGGAAAGTGGGGAAAGGCTGTTTGTCCACGTGAAACAGACTAGACGCCCTGTCGGCCTTCTCAGGAAAGGGAGGTCCACGTTCCCCCTGGGGAGATGCTCAAAGTCCCAAAGAGCCTCGGCCAAACAGGGGATGTGGTGGAGGCAAGAGCTAAAAATAGAGCCATGAGAAGCCCTCCCTTTACCCTCGCCCGCATGTCATGTTGAAAGGCACACATGCGTGATCCCTTGACACTCACGAAGGGTCACAGATTGGCTACAATAATCCTCACTTTGCAGCTGAAGAAAGGGAGGTGAGGAGGCTTGCTGAGATGGCTGGAGGGTATCCTCTGCCTTCCCATCTGCACAGAGCTCACTGCCCAAAGCAGGTGCCCATGTGGCCCTGCCCGGGGCTTGATCCCCTTGGCTAAATTCGGGTTCAAGTTCAGATTCCCTGGTTGGGGGGGGGCTGCCACCTGCCTATGAAGGGAGAACCGGAGAGAAGCTGCCGGCACTGGGAGGTCTGGTGGCTGAGTGCCACTCTGGAATTCCAGGCCGACCACAGCCTCCTCCTATCTCCCTGGTCCAGAGAGGGCGGTCAGTGGGTCCAGGAGCCAGGGCTCCAAACACGCTGCTTACTGGCTCGGTGAACCTGGCAAATCACTTCATCTGAGTCTGTCTCCTTACGGTGAGGAAGGTGTGAGACCAATCCTGGTTTACACCAAGAGCCCTCCGGAGAAAGTATTCCCCAAGACAGAGCCGAAGAAGTCAAAGGACACTTGATGTCCTGATCTGTGCAGGGGGCAGATCCACAGCTGCAGAACTGAACCGAGTCGTATGACTCTCAATGACACCTTGCCTGCTCGGCGAATCTCCACAATCTACATTCAGCCTTTTGCAGGTGTCTTTTAGTTATGCATTTCCACGTGACTATGGGCTTGGATTATTTGTGTAAAATAAGGAGAAGAGGGACCAAAATATGAACACCATTGTGCAAACCCTGTGCTGGAAGGCTGAGCGGTTGGCAGGTGGGCACAGCCCCAAGGAGGCTGGAAACGTTCTGTCACTTGCTGAAGTGCTCAAGTCTGAACTTGACACATGGAAAACATTTAGAAAGTTGATGCACAAAAAGAAACAAATAGGGTGGACTTTATAGCATGAAGGACCAGTGGCCTGCGCGCAATTCACACAGTCGCCAAGCAAATCAAGCAAGATGAGGGTGAGGAAAGAACAAGAACAAACGTGCTAAACATTTTGGTTTTGCTTTCTTTCTTTTTAAAATTTTATGTTTGACTGTCACAAGGCAATTGTGCCTATTTCTAGATAATTATGAACTAGTGGTGGCCTGTGAAACTCGGGTGGTACCCAGGATGGTCCTTGTTTGTGTTGGGATTTCCTGTCCCTCCTGGAGCTGGGGTCAGGGGCCAGGAGGGTGAGGTGCAGGGAAGGACAGACGTCTGCCTGAGCATCAGGCTGCTGTGCGGCCCAGCAAAGTGCTGGGCTGTCTGAGAGCCTCCGTCAGTTTCTGCTCCAGAAACCCAAGCAGGTTTTGGGGGGGCAGAGGAACAATAGATTGAGAACGAGTCTCCTACATAAAATCAACTCTGGGAGGAGTATGGAAGAGTATGACGAAAGGTCAGCTGGCCCTGGGTCAAGGCATTTGGGTAGCAGTGCTGTCGGGGGCTTGGCATCTCCTATGTCCTACGCCCTGACTGTGCCCTCGGCCTCAGGCACCCTGTTTCAGAGAGGCCACACAGGGCGGTAGACCAGAATGCAGAGGCTAGCTTCCATCCCAGTTTGCCACGTTGTAACTGCCCTTCGGCAAGTAGCTTGACACTTCTGTCTCTTAATTGCAGAGTAATGATTCCCCCCTGGGGTGTTATAAAGACTAACCCAGGATTACCAGTTATCAGTGCATCTTGGAACAGTGCCTAGTTTATAT